AAAGATTCATGTCATGCAAATTCTTAATGATGCCATATGGTAAGCAGAGCCAGGCAAATTTTAATGGGATTTTATAAGGAATTGAGCAAATTTCATGATGCAAAGCACAAAGAGCAAAGGCAGCAAGCACTATATTTCCACACAGAGTGGTGAAAAATAATGAAACCGTCCTGTATAGGCACTAAATTACATGCTGTATGCTTTACACATATGATCATATTTAATTACTGCAAAGCTCTAATTAAGTAGATACAATTATTCCCAATTCAGGCGAGATACTGAGACTGTGAGCCATGGTGTAGCTTGCAAGGTCACATAATCATTACAAAACTGAACAGAAATTTCAGTTCAAGTGTGTCTGACACTAAAGTTATGCCTCCTCTCTAATGTCTTCCTTTAGCAAATAAGAGCCCAGGGAAGAACGAAGGCAACTGAAAGGTGTTTCTTTCAATCATGTGACAATGTGTTTGCCACCATCACTCAGGTAAAACCTAAGTTAGGAGGGGAGACCAGAAATCAAAGAAAAATGTGACCAGGCCCAAATCAGAAGTCTGCATACAGAAGCCAGTCCAAGGGCAAAAGCAAAGGAGGAGGTTCAGAGGAGGCAAGTCTAATAGATTCCTTGTCCCTCCATTATAGGCACCGATTTCCTTTCTTAGCCCTAAAAACCTTTATTATTACATTTTATTCTTCAAAAACACTTGTGATATTATTAGATATATTTTCCAAGAGTAGCTGTAGTTGATAACTACAGAAATGTCAATTTTTATTTTGAAGGTAAATTTCAAGTGTGTCCTAAATGCTCCTCAAGAATTAAAACTTATATATCATAACACTTCAGTGATATTAACAGCTCCTTTTGATAACAAGTCAGTCACTGTTTTATTCATATTTACATATAGATTTTCAAAACTGAGTTAGATTTTTGCTATGATTACCCTAAGCTCCAATTTCAACTTGTCAGAAATTCAACCAAAATTCAAATGATTGGAATTACTCTATTCCTCCAAATAGAATTACCTAGTTTGATGAAAAAAAAAGAGATAAAGAACAAATAAACAAACATCAAGTAGAAATGTATTGTTTAATTTTACTGTTTTAGTGAAATTTGAAAATTGGCATACCTCTTTTCCTTTTAAATCATATTACATAATTCACTCTGTTTGTTTATGAATTTTTTCCAGAGTATAGTTTTAGTATAGCAATGAGCATGCCAAATAAATGTTCTATACTTAACATCAAAATATGTTTATTATGACAGGGAAGTAAATTAGGAATTAAAATGTAATTAAATTAGTTCTTAAAATGATAATTAAATTAAGATAAATTGAAGTCAGCAAGGCCTAGTGTTTGGGAAGAGAATATTAGGAGATAAAATATCAGGGATAAAACCGGAAGCCAAAGAGAATACATCTACCCTATTTCCCCAAAAATAAGACAGTGTCTTATATTAATTTTTTCTTCCAAAGTTGCGCTAGGTCTTATTTTCAGGGGATGTCTTATATTTCCATGCGTTAGTTCTTATTTTCGGAGGATGTCTTATTTTGGGGGAAAGATGGTAGAATGGCCAGAGGGGCACATGGCTTAAGAGACAGCTGGAGAAAGAAAGAGGCAACCAGACAGGGTACACTTAGTGGGCCACGGTAGAGGGTTTGGGCTTTCATGTAAGAACAATAGGAAGCCGTTGAAGAGTTTTACCCAAGAAAGTTGCATGGTCAGATCTAAACTTTTCAAGGAATCACTCTAGCTGATCAAGGCAGGGGCAAGAAACAATATGGGGAAAGAAGTCAAGAGACTAGAGCAGTGGCCCTGTAGAAGTTGATGGTGGCCTGAAAGGAAATGTTGGCAGTGAATTAGGTAAAGGAGAGATCTAGGTGTGAATTAACATTATAATAAAAGCAATAAAGAGTTGGTAAATGAAATTATTTTAGAAAGATAATAACTTTGACATGACCTAATAGGTATTCTTTGCTCTAAATAAACAAAACAAAATTATCTTATTAATCATTTAATAAAACTATAGAAATCAAAAGCAAGTAAACATTATTAACTTTTATGCTGTCACCCATGTACTAAAAAAATACTTCTCAGATGAATAATGTTTATTTATAACTTTAAAATAAATAGTCTCACATCCAACATACCATGCAAAAATATAAATATAAATCTTTACTTAAAAAAACAAATCAAGCCAGGACCGGTTTGGCTCAATGGATAGAGCATCGGCTTGGGGACTGAGGGGTCCCGGGTTTGATTCTGGTCAAGGGCATGTACCTTGGTTGCGAGCATATCCCCAGGAGGTGGTGTGCAAGAGGCAGCTGATCAATGACTCTCTCATCGATGTTTCTAACTCTCTATCTCTCTCCCTTCCTCTCTGTATAAAATCAATAAAATATATTTTTAAAAAAATCAATTTCCAGATTTTGTGTTTTGCTTAATGTTCAAATTATTACTTTTCTTAAATTCTTCTTTCTTTTCCTTATCATCTATGCCATGCTGATTTCTTTATAAGAAATTATTAAATAGTTAATATATTTTAAATAAAAATGAAACATCCTTTAGCTTTTGGAAAGTTCTAAGGAATATTTTCTTATTTTCTCTCTTCCGTAGTCTCCTACATCCTGCAGAGGACCATCTTTCCTGCTTCACAGAGGAAAAGAGCCAGAAACCCCTCAATTTACCGCCCTTCTCTGATCCCACCACAGGTCGACATCACACCTATTATTTATTCCATCCGGCCTCAGTGAAAAAGGGTTCCCCTTCCTGGATTTGGGTTACTCTGGAACCATGTTCTCATGAAATCTAGTGAAGTGGAACTGCTGGACCGCTGCTCCAGTTCTTATTCTCTACAATTCAAGCCACAACTCTAACACCCCACCCCCCTTCTTACATTTCAGACCACTCAATTCTTGATTCTTTCCCATTAACATGTCCATGTTCATGTTTCTTCTATCTTAAAACCACATGCTATAGCCTTTCTAACAAACTCTCTTTGCTTTATTGACTTTTTAAAAGGCATCATCAAAGGCTGTTTATATTTCTCTGCTCATTTGATGTTTGGGTATGCTTCATTATAATGTCCATTTTAAATAGGACGGGAAGGCTCAGTAAATAAACGTTCCAAAGGATGACACAGTTTGGATAGAATTCTAATCAAGGTGTTCTTATTTAAGTTTTTACTTAGGAATATAAATCTTGATGCCAATAGTGCCATTAAGTGTAATTCTTCCCTTTACGTTTATTTTTCTAGACAGTAGTATCATAAAGATTTGATCCATATTTTACCTACAGGGATATGTGTGAATAATGAGAGTACAAACTTATCTTTAAAAAATATGTGGTTGTTCTTTAAGTACATGACCTTTTTCCGATTTTTAACCTGTTAAAAACTATTACATAAATATTCATGTATTTTTTTATGGTAATAGTTTAAAAAATAATAAAAGATAAATAAAGTATTGCTAGTATATTGTTTTATACTACAGAATAACAGATATAAAGATGTTGTAATTTATACTAAGGTGAGTAAAAGAACAATATGATAAAGAAAACATATTTTATTTAATTTACCCAAATTCAATTTTATCAGTATTAAATAGCCCAAGGAATTAACATTACATTTTAGAAGAGTAGTCTAATTGTACATAAATCAACAACATAGTGACTATTATCTCAACTAAGTAATATTAAGACCTACAAAAGACTCTTGCTTGCAGTAGGTAATTCCTAGTTTGCTCCAGTATATTATGATATATACTGATATAATAATATATATTTTCTAATTATTTAGCCATCCTTTCCAACTAATTTAGACAGATTATTGCTTCAACAAAAGTAACCATTTAATGTCAATACACCTTTGTCACTGAAGTCTTTAAAGTGTTCATTTATCCTATGAACATTCAGTGAGGATGTACTATGGGCAAGGAGCTATGGTCAGGCACTCAATGTAGGAAGATGGGAAATGGGTGACACAGTTGCTATTGGAGGCAGATCAAGGAGAATGTCCACAGCACATGACAATGACTAGTAACCTCAGGAAACCTCTGAAAGAATATTCATTTAAATATAAACATTTAACCAAGTGAACACATAGGCAAATTATATACAAATGCAATTTAATACGTAATATCTAGCAATGGTTAACGTACATCTAACAGTCCTGTCTTTCTCAAATGTCATAGACTAAAGGAACAAGGTAATGTTTGGTTATACGAGGAACCATACTTCTTTTCAGAAAATATAAATTTGCTTCTTTACATAAAGGAAGTGCTACTCGCGTGGAAAGTACTCTGAATATTTTCCTATCTCTGCAGGGCTAGGGTTTTCTGAACACAGACAAGTGGAATTTGGGTTAAGAGACAAACCTGGGCAGTTAAAAGATGACTGAGTGCTGAACCTGTGAGAGACATCTGGAAGGGTTTACCTCCCAGGAGGGAGGTAAAGATGTTAACATTTCAAAGGACGGGAGTGGGGGGCTGTTGAAGCCTGAAGCCATGTATTTATATTCCAAAGGCTTTTACATTAGGGAGTTGAGGTTTCTCTCCCTCTCTCCAAGAAGAGGAGAGCAGCTGTATGGCAGCTCCTATAGAAATGCCCAGGGTGATAACCAGGGGTTCTTCCCCAGGGGGTCGAAGGAATGTTAAGAAGTGATGTGCTTATTGCTCTAAGAAATAATAGTCTGCCTAGTTCTAGAAACTTCATAGATGCTTTCAGAACAAAATAAATAAATGCATATATTGAAATCTTATGTTGTAAATCAGAGCTGGGTGGGGGGAGGGGGGAGGAGAGGGATGGTTTCTTTGAAGACAGAGCTTCATTATACTCATTTTCAGGCAGATCAGGTTACGTTAATAGTCAATAAATGATCTTATTCCACAAAAACAACACACTGATTTTTATCATTTTTCTGTCATAGGATTTCAGGGCAATTAAAAGCAGGGAGACTTTAGTGTACCAACGTAAGGCGGCCTAAAGAAACAAAGAGAAAAATCACTTACTTGATATTATCAAGGCAGCCCGATTCAGGTTTCAGAATGGCAGTATGATGAAACATTTTATATAAAGCAATCCCAAGGAAGATTACATTAAGCTGGAATGTAAAAGGTACTGTTATGTAGCATAACTGGACTGGAAAAGAAGGGAGTCTATTCACAATAACAGATGAGTTGCTCTGGGAAATTAACTTTCACTCCACTCTTAAAGGAATTGGACCACAGATGATTGCCTAGTCTTTTAGGAAAGGCAAGAAGCCAATTTGGGGACTGGAATGCCAAGGAGGTACAAAGCACTGTTACGCCAAGTACAAGCAAATACTAAAATCGATCTATTTTTTAACCACCGAATAAAAAAAAATTAGAAAATTGTGGTGAAATTCTGATATTAAAACAAACTAGGCTTGCCCTGACCGGTTTGGCTCAGTGTATAGAGTGTCGGCCTGCGGACTGAAAGGTCCCAGGTTCGATTCCGGTCAAGGGCATGTACCTTGGTTGCGGGCACAACCCCAGTAGGGAGTGTGCAGGAGGCAGCTGATTGATGTTTCTCTCTCATCGATGTTTCTAACTCTCTGTCTCTCTCCCTTCCTCTCTGTAAAAAAATCAATAAAATATATTTTTTTTAAAAATTGAGGCTTAAGATAGCGGGAACCTCCACTGAAGGTGTTATATTACTGGAGCCAGAGACAGCATATTATTTAAAAACAATACAAAACATTAAAATTCCAGTGCAAATTCCATATATCAGATATACATAAACTGTGTAGAAAGCCACATGTCAAATTGCCCTTGATCACCTAATTTGTTTATATATTTCAGTGGTGGGACTAGGAAAATCCAATTGTGAGCCCCAAGTCTAAATGATATGGGGTTATGATCCTTTATCAAATTCAAAAAGTCTGAAAAGTAAAAGTTTAAAAAATTCATTGGGTAACAAAAAGCCTGGCCTGAACAGAACCCATTTGGAGGGAGAGCTTGATTTGAATGGATATAAGATCTTCATGTCTTTATTCTATTTGATCTTAGTTTTCCTATAACTTTTTTTCTGCTGAATTATTGCTGTTTGGTTTCAGAGTCTTGCCTACTCCCTACTGTGAGTACTGGATGCTATGTTTGATTTTGGGCAACTGCTTATTTCTCACTAGGGAATATATAATATGCAGTACAGATACCATATGACCTTGATAACATTTTTAAAAATTCTGAATTTCAAAATATACCTGGCTCAAAGGATTTCAGGAATTGAGTTGTAGACTGAGATTTTATTAAAAATCAAAAGGCTACTTTTTTTTTTCAAAAAATGGACAGCACCTTTTTATTTCAAATTGTTGTTTGTAAATGATACTAACAATTAAATCTGAGAATAAATAATTTCTATTTGAAATCAAGATAATACGCATCTAAAATAAAAAAGAGAAGGCATGACTCTGGAATGCTTGCTTGAGGCATTTTTATATAAAACAGTTTTAAATTTTAAAGTTTTCAAGATTTATGTAAAAAAGAAAACTATAAGGAATAGTAAGATATTTTTCCACTTTCTAATTTCTAGTTCCATTCATAATTCAAATTATCCAAATGAAAAAAAGAATGGAAGTGGTCAAACTTAAAAGTCATCACTATTCAAAATCTATAAACCCAAATGGATTATGTTAGATCAGGCTCCTCAGGAACCAAAGCAGCACATAAACTTGAAAATGCATGTTCTCTTCTCACAGTTGTTTTGATTAAGCATTTTACAAATATAAAAGTAGACTGTAATGAGTGTGTCTAATTGTTTGAGTTCATGGGGTCAAATCAGTACAGGTTTTCCCCAAAGTAATCTATGTAAATTAAAGATTGTCAGTATAGGGATAGTAAAAGTTTCATTTCTTGACCCGGAAACCACAGAGTTAATTAGGAGTTCTTACCATAATGATCAAGGTCGCTGGTCCTATAAAACTCCAAATGAAGTAGGTGTCAAGTCGGAGCCAACATCTGCAATGAAACACAAGGGAGAGAAGGCATTCAAGGTCTGGGTATGGGACATACATCAAGAGTGAGGGAGTGACAGAGAAGAATGTGAGCTGCAAAGCATTCCACTGGGAGACAGGAAATATTACATTGCTTGTTCATTTAAATGCTGAATTATGCGCCCAATTTCTGCCAGCGTTATTGAGGAGTCAGATAATTACCCCTGGAGGAAGCAGAGGAAAACGGCACTGGGCTTATTTGCTAAGGCCTTTTGTCTGTCATAGAAACCTGAAAAAAAAAAAAAAAAGAAAGAAAAAGAAAAGAAAAGAAAAAGAAAAAAAAGAGAAAAAAAATAAAAAGAAAAGAGCCATACACGTAGCCTTTAAATCGAGTCGCCTTAAGCTATCCTTTTCTCTTCAATTATGGTGCTACATAACCTGTCTATCAGCTGTCAGGCAAAGTGACATTTTCCTGTCAGGAAGATCTCGGGAAATTCTGTACAAAGAGGAAATAAAATTGGTATCGGAAGATTGAAGTTTAATTAGGTTGGGCAGCCAACCTTTGAGAGTTCTTGAGTCTTCAAAAGTGCATTGTTACTGCTAGTGCTTCTGGGGTTGCAAATGATCCTTAGCATCCCATGAAGTTGATTCATGACCCAAAAGTAAATTATTAATCACTTAATTTCAGCTACATTTAATACTCCCCCAATTCATAAAGCCTCTGGGAAATTACATTTTCATTCTCCGGGATGACAGGAAGACAAAATGGAAGTGACTAGTTATGAGAAAGATTAATGTAAATTTTGAACAAATTACATTTGATGTTAAAAATCATATCTTGAATTATTTGCCATTTTCCCATATTTGAGCCATGTTTTAAAAATAAAATAGCTCCAGTTGAAACTATTAAAGAGTGATTTGCTAAGTAGTCTAAAACTGCAAGTCCGAAATATGTAAATATAGTGTGGGTGTTTTTTTTGTTCTTCAATAAAAGTGTTATTTAAATCTCAAGAATAATGAAATACTAAGAAAAGCTATGAAGAAAGGAATTTGTAAATGTCCACCAATAGAGAAATAGGTTAATAAAAAATGTTTTTCCTTCATATGATGCAAAGTTATAAAACAGTTAAAAGAAAAGAAGTAACTCTTTATATCAATAGGATAGGTCACAGTAAATTAATTAATATATAGGTCACTTAAATTAATATATATATTAATTTAAGTTCTTTATTGTTTAATGTATTACACAAGTCTCCTTTTTTTCTGAATTGACCTCTCTACAGCTGTCCCCAACCCCCAGCATATGCCCTCACCCCCTCTCCCATCTGTGTCCATTGGTTATGCATACAGGTCCTTAAATTTAAGTGAAAAAGTAACATGAATAATTTATACCACATACCTTTGAAATGTATATAAACATGCTTAAAGCAATAAGTTTTTGAAAGATTGATATATGTACATAATATTCTTCTAAATGAAGGGGGGAAAATAACCAAATTCATTTAGTAGTTGCCTCTCACATGAGAGTAGAGAGGATTAGATATACTTGGATCAAAAGGACGTCAGCCATATGTTTTATTTTAATAATTCCTGAAAGCAATGTGTCAAAATTCTAATAGTTTTAACATGTGAGTGGTACAAACCCAGACAGTGTAGCTCAGTGGTTGAGTGCCAACCTAGGAACCAGGAGATCACGGTTTGATTCCTGGTCAGGGCATATGCCCAGGTTGCAGGCTCAATCCCCAGTGGGAGGTGTGCAGGAAGCAGCTGATCAATGATTCTCTCTCATCATTGATGTTTCTCTCTCTCTCTCTCTCTCTCCTCTCTAAAATCAATAACAACATTTTGAAATTTTTTTTCTGGACTTTTAAGTTTATAAAAGGTTTAAAGCTACTATTTTTAAGCAAAAAACCCCCCAAAACCCACATTCCCTGAAAAATATCAACACAATTTCAAAACAATAAAATATAGCCACCTTCTATTAAGTTAAATATATGCAATGTAATTTGAATAGAAGTATCATATTTATACTCCAATAAGAAACTGACTACAAGTTCATGTTTTTACACAGACAGATAATTTCACTTTATTTAAAATAGCCATAATAATAATCCTATTTGAAAAAAATACTATCAGGGAAACAATCATTACTTAAACTACCAGCCATTATTTTATTTGAGTAATTGGTCATCTTTTTTTGTGCCATTGTTCAAGAAATTGGGCCACAGAACATAAGACTGTGGCGCTGCCAATAAGCAGACACAGACCAGAGAATGGAAGGTTGAAATATGAACACGGTCTTCATTTTGATAGAGGCTAGTTTGTTACCACTCAAATAGCAGTGCGTACAGTCGGGGCGGAGAAAGAGGAGGGGCAATATTTACGGGATCCTAAATTCTCAACCAAGACCACATTTCCCCTCAAGATAAGACAGTAGAAGACAAAGCATAAAGCATGGACATTTTCCCAGATTAGAAAACACACACATATACACACCAAGAATGTATAACATGATACAACACTAATGTTACATTTAAGAATGAATGTCAATTGTACAGACCCTGTCTTTTGTAGCTCAAACACGTTTTTGATACCTAACCTGAGAACTAAAACACATTTTCAGCCAATTCTTTCAAAATGAAAATGTTTCAAGAACTTCTGAAAATGTTATTCTGAAGTTTAGGATTTTCTTAGGGGAAAAAAATATTACATTATTACAGAGTATCTTGGCCTAAGTAGGGAATTTCAAATTATAAATAATCTTACTAAATGTTTAGTTAATATGAAATATTGTAAATTTTAATCAAATAATTAAAATTTATCATTATAATGCTTTACTTTAAAAAAAAACAACACTGTCTCAGCTTAGCAAATGCTTTATCTGGAAATTTATGTGCTTTGGCATAGTGGTCTTTAAATGTGGAAGTGACATCGCTTTAGAAGTTACTATTTTTATCTTTTAAGAATATTCTTCAGCATCTCTTTGCTACGATAGATTTAAATTCCCCTTGGAACTGAGCAGTGGACGAGGCAATGTGAAACACTTCGAATGTGCTGAGTGAATGGTCTTCCCTGAGCACGGCCTGGGCTTCACTGTCTTCGGAAAGGCAGCGTGGCATGGATCCCTTTTCTAATCTGATTGCCATATGGCCACACCTGCTGTTGTTTTTGGCCACACGCGGGCTTTCTCGAAGCTTTCTGAATTTCCTCTCTCCTATTAACTACCTGTGTGATTCCCTGTACGAAGGAGGTGTATATTACCTGTATGTTATGTGACACAGAGGTGGATGTTACATGCCTGGGCACATGTATCCCCCTTCATAGTATTCTATAAGCCCAGGGCATGAATGTCACTTGAACGCAATGCAAAACCACTGGTTAAGGCAAGATAAGGCCAGATTAGTAAAATGAATACTAGAGGAATTACTAATTGAACTAAGCTCAATAGAGACCAGCTTTCAAATGGCCAGCTAGACTTGCTGATGAAGAATAGGATTTATCTGAAATGTGCCTTTATCCACAAAGCTGCATTTAATTTGTTAAATAATTAACTTTAACAGGCCATTCTTGTTTAATTTTTAAGATGTCTATTTCTTTTTAAAAAGAAATTCAGTCATGTGTTTAATCTATAATTTATGTTTACACAGTAGTACATGCCAATAGAGATGACATGAAGTTGAAATAGCATGTTTATTTGAAGCAATTGATAAAAGAAAAATTCTTGTGATACAGATATATTCTAGAATTCAAAGGAGCACTTGTCATATACATAAACCTTAAGTTTTTAAAAATGTGGTCTAATACAAAGATGTCATTAAAATTATTTTTGTAGCATTTTTCAAATTATGGAAGCAGCATATATTATTATATGTATAATGAATTCTTACTGCATTAACACAATTGTATTATTTTAGCACTCTAAAGAAATGGAGCTAACCCACAGGGTAAATTGTTATTTTTTTCCAGAATTATTCTCCTTCCAAAATAAATAAACATCATTACAAATTAAATGGTAAAGATGTTGATATCTGGATTAATCTATAAAAATGTCAATTACTAATCCTGCAAATACCACCTTCATATTTACTCAAAGTGGAGAAAAATTAAACAATGAACCAAATTAATTTCTCAAAAAAAAAACACAAAAAGGAAGCCATATTCCTAAAGTTTATTCTCTTCTACTAGTTAACTACATCTCACCATTTTATTATCATAAGTCACTTATGATTTTGTGTTTAGAAAAATGGTTAGGTCAATTATCGCATGTACATATATATTAATGTCACCAAAACATATGTTTCACAATGCTTTCAGGTACTAGTAACCAAATGCAATTCTTTCTTCAAAGTTAGCTTATTTAATGTGGTACCGTTAAGATGCTTTGGGATATTTTATTTTCTTGCCTATTTAAAACACTCATCAAAGTAAACATTTGACTATGACCAGTTTTCCTGATATAATGTAAATTAAGAATGGTATTTGATTCATCTTTGATAGTACCCTAAATCACAGACTACACTTTCCTTGGTGAGTATCAAATGTACTAAGTAAACAATTTTTGGTCAGTATTAGACAGTGAATTTATAAGGCTTAATTATACTAGGTTGCTTATGAGATGTGTAAAGTACATTATCTTTTTGTCTATAGCAGATGCAGATCTCTATATTTGTCCTACATATATAGGGCAATATTTAGAGAGAAAAAGAGGGAGTCAAGCTAATTGGGGTCAGAAAGAAGGAAGAGTGAAAGTGACAAATACATACTTGAAGCAAAATTACTTGAGTTCTAAGCTTATTGTATAATATAACTAAGAATTTGTTGTTTGTTTGTTTTGTTTAATCCTCACCCAAGGATATTTTTCCATTGCTTTTTTTAGGGAGAGTGGAAGAGAGAGGGAAAGACAGAGAGAAACATTGATATGAGAGAAACACATGGACTGGTTGCCTCCTGCATGAGCCTGGGCCAGGGAGAAGCCTGCAACCAAGGTATGTGCCCTTGAGCTGAATAGAATATGGGACCCTGTGG